GCAGTGTTGCATCAATGTGGACACTGTGTGTGCCCTGCTGGCCTCCGCCGAGCGTTACATTCAGTACAAGTGCACCAAGACCTTGGTGCAAAAGGTCCTGGAGTTTGTAGACGAACATGGCAATGAAGTCCTGAATCTGGGCAGCTTCACCCTGCTGCCACAGCATGTGGTACGCCTGATCCTGGCCAGGGAGGAGCTAAGGGCGGACGAGTTCACCAAGTTCCAGGCGGCGCTCATGTGGAGCAAGAAGTACTACGACAACAATCCGGTAAGAAGATCCTTCGGTTATCTTTTAAATACAGATAACACTTGATTGATTTTCCATTCAGAACATCGACATCAAGGAGATCCTGGGCACCTTCTGCGAGTACATCCAGTTCCATAAGATTCCCGCCAATGTCCTGATGCGAGAGATCCATCCGCTGAACCTCGTCCCGTATTCGATCATCATGAATGCTCTGGCCTACCAGGTGGGTTGCACTGTGCTTCTCGATTGCTAACGCGCTGCTTCCTTGGTGTTTAACTCAGTCACTCACGCCGCCATCTGTCCATCTATCTGTCCGCCTATCTGTCTCTCCATCTCAACGTCCATGTCCATGTGTCCATCCAACGTGCACTCCATTCCGTCCATCCATCCTGTTGTCCCCTTTATGTCTGATTCTACACTTTGCAGGCAGACCCAGAAAGCATCGACCCCGGAAAGCTGTCTCCCAACTCTAGCCGAGTGAGGCGGGCGCGCCAGAATCAGGGTCGCTCCATGTCGGTCCAGAGCTCACTGGATCCCTACGGATCGAACACCACGCTCAGCTCCAGCGGCAGCAGCGACCCCACCAGTGGGCCGCATCACAGCAACTAACATAAGTTGAACGGCCCCTCCTCCTCCTCCACGTCGTCCCAGCCCAACCAGCATCACCATCGTCATCGCCATCACCACCAGTCGCTGCCCAAGATCCGCAAGGCCAAGTCCCAGTCTTTCCGCACCCGACGCAGTCCCTCGGAGCGTCGGAGTCCCAACAATGCGCCGAATCTCACGCTGAACACATCACTGGCCTCGGGCAATGGCGCCGGCGATAAGAAGCGCAGTCCTCTGACACCGAAGAGTCCAGTGCTGCCGGCACCGGAATCCAAGAGTCCCGGCAGCGGATCACAGAAGACGCCCACGTCGCTGTCGCGCCAGGGTACACTGCGTGCCTCCAACCGCCGGAAGAACAGCGGCCAGCTCTCCATATCGCTGGGAAACCAGGGCCGGCGAAGTCCCGTCGGCCTCAACGATCGCAGTCCACAGGGCCGCCGGAGTCCGCTCTTTCCCAGCAGCGGATTGAGGTCACCGAATGACCCGAGTCCCACTGCCAGAAGTCCCACGGGAGACATGCCACGTCGGAGCAGTCCCACCTTCAGTGTTCACACCCAGGAACGGAGATCTCCACTCGGAGCAGTCGCACCCACTGACTTTGGCTGCCAGTTTGGTGTGCCGGGAACGCGCAGGAGTCCCACGTCCACGGTGCATGTTCAGGACATGGCCACAGAGCCGGAAGAGGCGGGTTTTGTGGGCATGAAGCGACCCTCCATTAGCCTCTTTACGCCCATATACTTTGCCAGCGAGAAGCGCTCTCCGATGGGTCCCATTCCTCCCATCACGGTCTCCAATCCCGCCGAGACGTACAAGAGCGCGGAGAGGGAGCGCGAGGCGGCCGAGGCAGCCGCCCGGGAAAGGGAGAAGGAAAAGGAGAAAGAAGCGGCAGCCCAGCCGCAGGAGAAGAAAAGCGTTATGCGCGAGATCCTGGCCTTTGTGCGGAAGCCATCGAAGCACATATCCACGAGAACGAATCGCTTTGCGAATGCCTTCACGCGAGCGGAGTCGGGCTCCTCCAGTGGCCCCCTCATCCGGCAGAGCACATTCTCCGCCAGTCCAGCGGCCTCATCGACGGCCGCCAAGAGTGCTGTCCAAAAGCAAATGTCCGAGGTGGGCTTCGAGCCGAAGATGTCCCTGAAGTTTGCCCACTACACGAAGATGTCCCTGAAGCTGCGCAGATCGGCGAAGCGCCAGGAGGAGGAGGAGAAACAGAAGGAGGATAAGCAGAAGCAGGGCTCCTCGGCGTCGGGATCCAAGAGGCCCAGTGCGGACCTCAGCCAGGGCCATCTAGAGCAGCAGGTAGGTGGACTGGAGGAGCAGCCCTTCGAGCTGGCCAACGTGCACTTCGAGAAGGTAGGTGAGTCCTATATCAAGCATGAGAGGCTCCGCGAGCTAGAGGAACCGGATCTGGAGACGGAGAAGGAGGCCAAGAAGGAAGCAGAAGGCGAGGGCGAGCAGACCGATGCAGCCATGGCACAGTTCGTGGAGGAGGTCACCAATTCCCTGAAGGTTGTGGCCCTCAACGGCGAGGGCGGAGCTGCCGTCGTTCATCACTTCACGCGTCGCTCCGAGAGTCGCGAACCCATCGAGCCCCGCATCAGCGAGGAGCGGGAGTCAGACTCCAACGATCTGATGATACCCGAGGAGATGCGCGCCGAGCTGGTAGAGATCTTGAAGGCCTACGCCCCAGAACCAGTTTATGTGAATCTGCAGGCGCTGCGGCGGGAGACCGAAGATGCGGACCTGGCCGCCGTCCAGGCCGAGTCCGAGTCGCTGGCCTTGACGGCGACCTTGCCTGAGAAGAAGCCGCTGCAGTGTCCTACCATCGAGTTTGAGCCGCCGTCGCGCCGCTCCTCCTTCGATCCGCCGCGCTCCCCATTCCTTGAGCAGCTGCGCAGTCCCGGAGTGGACACCGAAACGGATCTAATCAACCTGCAGCGCCTGGACTCCGGGGGCGACAGCTTCGAGCTGGTCGAGAGCAAGTGGAGCAAGTCCAGCCGGGGTGAGTCGAGCTTCGACTGTCCGTACTCTTCCAGGGACACCAGCTTCGATGTCTCGATCTCGCGGTACCAGTCCACCAGCTACGAGGATCAGACCTCCAGCTTTGAGATCGTGGACACCGACGAGAAGGGTCAGGGTCGCCGGCCTGTAGACCTGCGCAAGAGCTCCATCGAGCTGGTGGATGCAGAAACCTTTCAGAGGTCCGGTTCCTCCTGCGGCGGACGCAAGTCCTCGCTGGAGACCCACTTCGACTACACCCCCACCGAGGGCGGTGGCCGATCGCCCAGCTTTCCCTTTCCGGCGATGAGTAAGAAGCAGCGGACTGAGAACTTCCGCCAGCTGCACGTCTCCCCCTTCAGTGCCTTCTCCCGGGCACGCAGTCCGCTCTCCCAGCAAACCTCTTCGAACTACAGTTCCAGGGACAGCTACGACTCCAGTGGCTCCTATCCCCATGGCTACGGCTATCCCCCGGAGCCGCCGCAGCGGAGTCCCTATGGCGATCCCAGTCGCAAGCACTTTCCCTTGACAGTCCGGCAAAAGGGCCTGCAGGAGGAGGAGCGTGAGGTGCGAACCTTCCTCTGCACAGATCAGAGATGCGCCTCCATCTTCGAGCCTCGTCCCAGTTCCGTGCTTACCCAGCAGCTCTCCACGGGCTCCATGTCCACTCCCTCGGGCTATACGAACAATGGAACAATGCCGCGCGAACGAGTTCCAGGTTATGCAGCTGCAGGTATGGGCTCGGGAACGGGAGCGGGAGTGGGTGCAGTAGGGCCTCTGCCCCACCCAGGACCGCTCTCCTCGTGCGGCTTCTCGAGCGGCAGCGAATTCGAGCCGCCGTCGCCGAGACGGGCGGCCAGTGCCTCGCCGAAGCACACCTTCACCTTCCGCATTGTGATGAAGAAGGTGGACAGCTCGCCGGAGGCGCTGTGCCCGGAAAGGCATCGGTCGCGGATCATAGATCGGTACAGGAGGCGCGACAGTCGCCGCAAGCGCATCCATGATGCGGGCAAGAGCTTCTAGAGAGTAGGAAACGAAGCTAACTGGCCACCAGTGATGGGGGGAGTACCTAGATAGGAAACCAAGCTTAGACAGGTTACTTCAAATTTGATTCTAGATCTTTGATTTCCAACTAACTGCCTTTTAATAAAGACCCCCGAAGAGTGTACATAAAATACTGTTATAAATCAGAATTCAAATCAAAATAAATAAAATCAAACCTCATAAATATCAAGCTCTTCAATAGATAAGATAACTAACAGAAACTGAAAATAAAATAAGAAATAGAGATTAAGAAAGCTAAATAAAATGCATATTCGTATGAACTTAATGTCTCAGTACCTCCTACTTGAAAGATCTCAAAGAATATAGCTTACAGAATACACAGACATCCATTAAATACGTATTTTTTTTAGCTAGACAGGGAAATATTTAATCAAAATATATATGTACTACCCATTGCTGGTGGCAAACAAGGTGAACCTCAGTAATTATTCGCGGCAATCTCTCGATATCTTTTCGATACGCATATATTTTTGACAATCTCAGTGTTGAATCTATATATACATATATATAAACCCCTCTCAATCGTAATCGTAACCGTATTAAAGTCTAGGCTTAAGTGAAGACGCCGAAACCATGGGCGTTCGGTTATCAAACTTTATAAAATGGTTCTGGTTTTTAGGCCGTTTCAAAAGCTCTACCAAAAGTAAAGGCGCAAACTTCGGCCCACCGAAGTCTGGTACTTATGATCTCTGCTGACTTGTCAAGCAACCCTCGTTAGATCCGCGGTTACAAACTGAGCGAATGTTTAACCGTTCTATATATATATATGATATTATGTAATCTACAAATTTAAGCGCAACAATAATTCCTCCCACGATTTACCTGACTACTATTTAAAAAACAAACAAAACAAAACGATAAATAAGGAAAACAATAGATCAAAAGTTTATATGTATACATGTGCATACAGGAGTTCACACTTTGATGTTGTAATTAATGTGAAAAACGATAATGTATCTATATTCTAAGTATTTGTGCATTTTTACGTGGTTCCTGTTATATAGCTATAGATATATATATATATATATATATATATACATAAAGGCGTGATTGGACGCAAGTATTACAAATTTTTGATGGCATCATATAATCGATATACATATATAATATATTCTGATTCCGATTCTGATTATGTTTCCAAAGAAACCTAATGCAATTTAATTCTAAATGTAACCGAACTGCGCTGCTATTGCAAAATAAGGTCACAAGTGTTTTTTCTAGTTAACTCCTAAGACTAAGATCAGAGCAAAATTATGCGCATGCGCATGTATAAAATTAAAGCTGGATTTGGGGCCGTACTTAAATCGTAAAAAAAAGAAGAAAATCTAGAGAGAAGGAAATTATCGCGATTACCAAAAATAATATTTAATGTTGAACTCTGAGCAAGATTTTTGGACTCTGTGTTTGTTAGTTGCAAAGTGAAAAAGAAAACCTGTTTAAGAGAATCCTACAATTAAGCGGAGTATCTAAAGTATCATAATTTACAACATATACATATTATATATTATATATACACTTGTAATATTCTTAAGTGAGTAAGAAACGTTGGCTTTTTAGCAAATCAATTTACTCGTAAGCAGAAAGATATCAGCATTTTACAGGTAATTACGCATCATGAGCATTTAATTCCAACTAAATGGTAACTAAATCGTTAAGTAATCGCTAAACACACAGCTGGGATCCGGAGATCCGAAGATCTGATGATCTGCTAAACACTCGTAACTAATCGGAATGCTAAAAGTAGAGCGTTGCTATTTTGATTTGTAGTTGCTTGTTTTGAAACTAACCAACAGTCAACCAATCGGTCAGTCAGCTTGACAGCTCGCTAGATACTCGTATTTTGGATCGGTTTTTTTTCCGTAGCGCCTCTGAATGCTTGCGAGAGGCAGTCCGCCATAGTGGAGACCATAACAGTTTGCCAAAATAAGTCGGAGCCAGAGCATCCAACTACAATTTCACAATGCCAACTTCTTCTATTTGCAGAGCGGTTTTACAGTGTGCCAGCTGGATCGGATGTGGATCTAGCCCAGGATCCAGTCCCAAACATACACATGTTATTCAATATCCCTCCCCCCCCAGATTTATATTCAGAGGATGTCGTTGTCGTGGCATTCGTTAGTCTAAGTCCAGTTCCAGTTTGAATCGCGTTGAATGTCTTACTTTGTTACCGCTCTCGCATATATACATATTCGAAAAGTTAGAGCTAAAGACCTCCGTGTACATTATGTGCGTTCGTTTTTATTGTAATTTGAGACAAAATAAAGCCCAGATTTCTGTGTTACCCAAAACAAAAACTACTTAAACTTTGGCATTCACATGCAGGGCCAGCACTCCATCGAAGTCATCTGATCCGATGTGGATATAACCATAGCCATGCTCGTTCACAGTGACGGACTTGCCGGTGCAGGCGCCATCGATCAGGCTGCCCGAGATCACGTCGCAGTACTCACCGGCCGGCAGGCAGGTGTTGAGCTCCTGGGACAGATCGTACTGGTTGTTGTTGACGGCCAGGAAGCCCTTGTTGCCGCGGCAGAAGGAGATCTGGTTGTCGCCATTGTCCCACCACTCGGACAGCTGGGTGTCACGCACGGCGTTCTTGAAGCCCACCATGGCGTAGATCTGGCGCCAGCGGTGCTCGCAGATCCAGCCATTCACACAGGCACCATCATCATCGAACTCCGGAGAAATGATATTCTCCTGGGCATCCTGCGGCGGCGGGGTATCGTGATCGTCGAAGGCAAAGGAGCTCATCACACGGCTAATGCCATAGGGGTAGGCCAAATGGAAGGCGGTGGCCATCTTGTACTGCCTGGGCGACTTGTAGTTCAGCACGGATCCCATATCGCGCTGGTTGTCATGGTTATCCACAAAGGTCAAGGCCTGCTCGGAGCTCAGGAAGCCCCAGCCGGTGCCCCAGCTTTGCAGCCACTTCAGGGCATTGTTTCCACGGAAGGCATTGCCGATCTCCTCGGAGAAGCGGAACTCGGTGACGGCACCCAGACCGTTGTATTCCTCACGGGACACGGTCTCGTGGCCATGATCGATCACCTCCTGGAAGATGAAGGGCCTGGCATTGTGGGGGAAGCCATGCTCGATGTTCAGGTTGCTCAGGCTGCCGTAGATGTACTAAGGAAAAGGTAACCATGATAAGGGTTCCGTAAGTTCTACAATATTCTTCTACTTATAGCAAACTCACCTCCAGATCCTCCGCGGCCATGTGCTTGGCGGCATCCACACGGAAACCGGCAACGCCCAGCTCGATGAGGTGATCCAAGAACTCAATCAGCTTGCTCCTCACATAATCGCTGTGCTGATTCAGATCCTTGAGGCCAACCAGCTCGCACTGCTGCACCTGGAAGCGATCGTTCCAGTCGGTGATCTCACAGCTGGGATGGAAGTCCTGGGCGCTGTAAGGCACACCTGGGAAAGATTTCTTGGAAGGCTCTGCCTCAGTGCCGGCTGTGCCCACGGCCACGCCATCAAAGTCACCGGACATGTGATTCAGGAGAACGTCGACGTAGATGCGAATGCCCACATCGTTGCAGCGACGAACCATGTCGGCGAACTCTTCCTCGTTGCCAGAGCGTGTGGTCAGCTTGTAGGAGATGGGCTGATACCTCTCCCACCAGGGACGACCCGCCGAGATGATGTTCTCATTCACGGGACTCACTTGGACGCCGGCAAAGCCACGCGGTGCCAGGAACGTCTCGCACTCCTCGGCAATGTCCGACCATTTCCACTCGAAGAGATGGACGATGGTGTTGCGGTTGCCCCACCATTGGGGATTGTGCTGGGCCAGCGAAAGGCTGGCACCCGCCAGGCAGAGCGTCAGGGCCAAAGCGAACTTGATCATGACCGTAAAAAACTGTGCCTAATCTCCGGAGCCCCGGCTCCTTTTATACGCCCCAAGGCAATCTTATCGCGGATTTGCTTTGCTTGGGTCCAATTTACGACCAGCAGATGGTCGCCCAGCGATTCGGGGTTAGATTTACAATGGCCATCGGCTGACCTATGGCAATATGCGATAGTGTCCCTGGATATTTGCAAGTCGTGAGTGGCTTGGCATTCCCAGAACATCATAAGACACATAAAGCTAAGATTAGATTTGGAACTCTAAATACCCTTGCTTATTGTTACAATGTTTAGTGAGAGTCTGAGGTTCAAGAGGTTTTTATTGTTAGTATATATTAAATTTTATTTGTAACTTAATTTAAATTAATAAAGTATAATATAATTATTAAGTTAATATAAAAGCTAGATAAAATCTTTCAGTTGCCTTGTTATACCCTTGCAGGGTATTATAATTTCACTCAGAAGTTTGCAACGCAGTGAAGGAGACGTTTCCGACCCCATAAACCATATATATTCTTGATCAGCATCAACAGGGGAATCTTTCTAGACATGTCTGGAAGAAATCGATTATTTGGCCATTTTTGTGAAATTTTATAAGGGGTTACATCATTAAAATTTTTGATTTTGATAAAAAATTGAATTTTTCAAATGTTTAAATGAAGTATGCAGAATTATTAACTGCAGAAAATCTTGCACAGAACAGTTTTCAGATTTAAAATTAATGCTCTTTTGGCCAAGTTATGATATTTTTAATTTAAAAAAAATCAAGAAGTTTTTTAATATAAAAAATCAGATTTTATAATACAAAATAATATTTTTCTAAGTCAAGGAATCATTTCCGACCCCATAAACCATATATATTCTTGATCAGCATCAACATGCGAATCTTTCTAGACATGTCCGGAAGAAATCGATTTTTTGGCCATTTTTGCGAAATCTTATAAGGGGTTACATCATTAAAATTAGCAAAAATGGCCAAACATTTTGATTTCTTAAAATGTATGCAGATTTGTTAGGCCAGACAAAACTAGGATAGAAAAGTTTTCCAAACTGAATTTAATGCATTTTTGGCTGAGATTTGATCGATTTTTTATTCAAAGCCAAGGTCCTTTGGCAACTGCAAGGGTATACAAGGGTATTCGGCTTCCAGAATTTGGTTTCCTTTCTTGTTTTTCTTTAAATTCTCAAAAATGCCAAGTACTCTCTTCTAAAGAGTAAAAATAAGTTCACGCCATGTTCTGCTTGAAATCGATAATTTTTTATTACCCTAATTTATGACAATATTTTTTTTTGCATTCTGTCATTCCTTTAGATTACGATTACGATTTGTGAATTATGAAAACAGATTTCTTGTGTTTACTGTGAGTGTCATTTGCCTTCGGCCAGGCGAACTTTGGACCCTTTTGAAGCATCTTCTTGCGCACTTCACACTCCAGATTGTAGTTTTTGCGTAAAATTACGGAGAAATAGTAGATAATCTCCACCACAGAAAGCATGCTCATGCCTACGAAAAGACTAAAGGCGCTGCCCAAGTTGGCTAAAATATATAAAAGCTCTTGAAATAAAATTTAAATAAATTGTTTAATCAGACATACAAACCAAGGTGACCATATTGGAGAGCAAATCATGACGTAGACGACGATAGCTAAAGGAATTAATAAAGATATGAACTATGCCATCATTCTTGGCTATACCTGAACTGAAATTAGAGAGTTTTTCAATATATATAAATAATTCAAATATATATTAAATACTTACTAGAACTTGTCTGCCACGGGCATGTTGAGTTGTAGGGGAAAGTTTGATATTTGAACATCGAAATCAAAGTGCTCACAGGTTAGAGGACAATAACACTGAGTGCTTCTGTTTCTTGTTATAATATTTGCTATAAAGAAGTATTTAATTATCTAAAATCATTATTTAATAAGCCAAAACCCACCGAAGTTATCCACCAGACAGGGAATATCCCTGAAAGTGCAAATCCTATCTCTGGTACGATTAAAGTCAAAGAAGTACGTGTGACATCCACAGAACTTGACCATATTTGTGACCCTGCAGTTCAGTTCGCAATTGGGATACACATAATCCGAAAAATATCGTAGGGGAAACTCTTTCTGAAACACACAATTTCTTTCCTCAATAGTCAGAGCCTTGACAGTTGCCGAACAAAAGGTTTCCTGCGGTCTTAAAGCTGCAAAGGTTTCCGTGTTAAAGGCTATAAAATTAGCCGAGGCATGGGCACTGGGAAAGGCATCGGTTTCCTGAATCAGCAGCTTAACGCCATAAGAATACGATTGTACGGGATCATAGCTGTCATCTTTGTATCTCACTATAAGAGAAAGACCATATTTTTGACCTCCTATGGCCCGCTGGGCGGTAAAGTTGAGACTGTGTTAATAAAAATATTAATAAGAAAATATAAGAAATTATATTTTTCCTTGCTACTAACCCCTTTTGTCTCAAATTAAAGGAGCAGCAGTGTCCAAAAAATGTCTTGGATAGCTGAAAAAGCTCCGAACAATCCATAATGTTCCCAATGAATCTACAGCGATAGAGAATCTCTTCACAATCCCAACGTAAATGCTCCACAAACTGCTGAATTGTGAGATTATTGAGGGAAAGCAAGGACTCCATTTGCTCGATATCTTGCGCCGAATAACGTTCATCGTCCAACATAAAGCCATAGAAAATGTGCAGTTTTCGTAGAATACCAGATAACTCAGCTCCCTGAGGGAGTTGTCTGTAAAATAATTAAAATATAATACGTATGTCTAAAGTTTCCTTTCTACCCACAGAGTCTTGAGGAAAGCCTGGGACTTTTGCATATTAAAAAGCACATCCGGACAGATGGTAACCGGTGGAAAGTAGAGATTATTAACCGGAGTGTGATCGCTTTCCACATTCATCCTGGTGGGATTACTGCGATAATCCACGTAGAAGGTGTGCGCCATAACCACAGCGCAGATGAACATCACCAGCGAGATTAGGAGCCACACAAAGTGCACTATTTTATTGGTATCCTCATCGCGGGTGTATCTCAAGCCATGGATACTGCTGGTGGCGCAAAAGTCACTCCAAGTACGCCGCAGAGAACCCACCAGAGGTGACACCTTTAGGTCCACCTGGTCCGGGCTGAGCTCCTCCTCTTCGTGACCCATGGGAATAGACAACTAAGGGATATGCTTTTCGTCCCGACCTTTATATACGTGTCCAAGGAGATTGTTCCACTTGATATCCTGACAACTGCTTATTAATAACGAATTAGGCTTTGGGGGTGAGATGGTGGCATTTAGGGAGCTGTTAAAGCAAGTAATCATATTCAAGGATATTCCGTACGAAGCCTTTATAAGTCACCAAGTAAAAATCCAAGTTATTTTTTTTTGATATCCTTAAACTATAGTTTTAATTGATTTTTCATACATTTGGTTGCTTGCTTACTTAACAATGTTCGCTTGAGCGGATCATTTCGTTTCAAAACAAATCGGTGAGAGAACTAAACTCTGTCGCTATCACAATAAGATTAGAAAACTACGCATTTGCAATGGTAGACCTCGATTTGCCTAACTAAAGCAGACAATTTGTGCTCGATTTGGTTTGGTTTTCAGTTTTGGGGTTTGAATTCACAATTCACATTTACAATCGGAAGCTAAACTGTCTTTTGTTCTAAGGATCGCTAGCTAAGTAGATCGTTAGTGTATATGCAGGTATAGGAATAGATCAGTGGCTAGCTATCGGTATAACAACTTTTGGCTTAACATATATATATATAGGTAACTAAAACAAGGACTAAGCTACGCATTTCATATCATATAGTGTACGGTGTGTGTGTGTGTATTGGCTAATCCTAAATCCTGGCCGCTTCCTAGGAGCTGGTGATGGCCTGCGTCGGTGGCGCCGCTCCATTGCTCAGCCTTTGGGGTGTGGTGGTGCTGGTAGCCTGCAGGGCTGGCTTTTGCTCATCATCCTCGGGATTGTCCCAGAACTGGCGTTCTCCGGAACCGAAGATGTTGTAGAAGGTGCCGCAAATGATGTACACAAAGGCGGCAATGAAGAACACGATCTGCCACTGACCCATCATGGGCTGCAAAGTAAAAGAGAAGAAGCGAAAATTAATTTTAATTCAGCAAAATTGATGTTTCTATATACTAAAAGTTAAAGAAGGTGGCTGAATGTCCTATAAAAATTTGGCAACACTTCTCAAAATAATTTAATTGTCTCTCTTTAGGGGATATATATCATAGCCTAGCTTGTGTCTATTTATATAGGATTTAGTGTGCTTGTTTATATAATTATTTATTAATTGCTTTGGTCACAGATGCTATATTTACCCCACAAAAGTGACAGTATTTAATTTTTCAAATGTATTTTTTATAAGAAAAAGAGGTCTTGAGGAATATTGTCGCTTTTGTTTTTAAACTTTTCCAATTAAAATCTTGATAACTCACCTTGCTGGGATCAGAGATCAGATTGCCTGCGGCAATGGGCGCCAGCAGACCGGCCAAGTTGGCCGAGCAATTCGTGATGGCCATCAGGAAACCGGCAAAGCGGGGCGTAAGATCCAAGTGGTTGATCTTGAAGCCCGAGTAAATGCCTCCGTTCAGGCCCACACCAATGGTGAGAATGGCCAGCGTCAAGGCTCGGTCGCAGCCTGTATAGGAGGCGGCGATCAAGGCTATTCCTGGGCCATATTGGCCAATACTGTTGATAATCTTCCTGGTGGCGGTCAGGGAGAAGCGCTTGGAGCTGATCATCCAGTCGGCAATCACCGAGATGAACATGGACAGCAGCCACATGGCCAAGTAGGGCAGGGAGCTGAGCAGTCCGTTGGACTTCAGGGAGAAACGAAGCACCTGCTTCATGTAGGTGGGCAGCTCGGTCATCAGAGTCTCGTAACCGTAGTTGTGACCCATGTGAGCGAACAGAATGGCGTAGAAGGGCAGGGACTTGATGATGGCCCTGAAGGGAATTGGAGGACTCTGAAAGGGTATATACAAAATTTAAATACATTTCCAATTGATAATTTTTGTAAGTTAACCCACCTTGACCACATCGGTTCCCCATAGCGCATCGTTAATGTACTTCTTCTCCCGCTCATCAATGGTGGGATGAACCGAGGGATCTTCATGCACAAACATCAGGAAGGCAATGGACCACACGGTGCCCACCACTCCGAATACATAGAAGATCGATGGCCAGCCGCCATCGAATCCGTATTCCGCCAGCAGACCGGACAATGGCATCGAGATGATGGTTCCAAATTGAGCTCCCGCATAGACGGCGGCGCCCATTCGTGATCTCTCGTTGGGTGGGATCCATTTGGCCAGAAGAGCGTGAGTGCAGGGCACAATGGGACCCTCGCCCAGGCCCTGGATGAAGCGCACTCCACACAGACCCCAGACGCCGCCTTCGCGGGCAGCCACCGGGACGAGGAAGGCGAAGACCGAGTTGATTAGCATGCCATAGCCCAGGAAGCGCAGCGAGCCGTACTTCTTGGCCAAAATGCCAAAGGGAATCTGGGTGATGACATAGCCGTAAAAGAAGGAGGAGAGGATATAGCCTTGCAGGGCTGAATTCCAGGGGAATTCGCCATCCTGGGAATCGTCCTAAGGGGAAGAAGATGGGAAAATTCAAATATTATTTATTAATAAATAAAATTATTGAAAAATACTTTAAAGCACTCTAATGTTTCGAAATCGCTTTAAAATATATCCAAAAATATGCTTTACATATTTGTAAAGGTTTAAAAATCCAACTTACAATGGGTATATCACGATCTCCGCACTCATCATCGAACACCTCGTCACCGGACTTAATCGCCGTGTGATTGACCATGGCCACAATGGCCACCGACATGTTTGTCCGCATCACATACGCATTGGCCATGCCCAGGAAAAGCATAAAGGTCACAAAATAGCGGGTGGCAAAGCATCCTAAAAGAATACCACAAAAAATAAGAGAAAAATAATTAGTCAAAAGAGTCTAGAAAATTAAATCAACCAGCGAAAGAGTAAATAATTGTGACTGCGTCAGTGACCAATGAGCGTGCATAAACTAATTTATCTAATTTAGACGAGGGCAAGCGGAAATCTTGTCAGCAACTGTAAATGTTAGCTGACAAATTATATGTTTCGGAAATGCAGAAATAACCCAAATATTTCTAGGCTATCGCAGAGATATTAAGATATAATCTTGTCTGGGGTTTGCTTAGCTCAAGGTTCGTTGCTCGCACGAGATAAGCCTTTCGCCGGGCCCGCTAAGGTGATTCATGGTGTAGATCGAAAAAACTACAACAATCTTTACACAGCACGAAAATATTAGATTTTTACAAAAATTTAACTATAAAATTTAAGTTTTTATATCAATGAACATATTTAATAACTGAGTAATTAGATCTATTTTGTTCTATGAAAATAAACTAGATTCCTTTTGATTTCAAGTGCAGCCTCGTAATTTCTGCTCATTTATTTATTTGATTTCCCCGCCATAGACTCATATTGCGAGATCGCGTTTTATTATAGCTATGAAAGCGATTGTTTACATTGGAATGGGTGAGTGTTGATATTTTTTTTTGTATCGTTTTGTGTCATTTGGCAAACGTGAATGGTCGGCATTTCTCGGCAATTTGCACGGGCGTGGAACACGTGAGGGTAGCCTGAATTTCCAGCTGCGAGTACAGTTGTGTTCGCTTTAGGTTTTACTATATACATATTTGGCTTAATTTGAGAGCCACTCATACTAAAGTTCAAGGCTGCTTGCAGATTTAATTAAGGCAATTCACTTTTCCAACTACTGAACTTTGCCCCTTGGTGGTAAATTAAAAATTGTGCAATAAGCATTTTTGTGTTCAATAACCTGTCTGTTTCCGCGGAATTTAGTAGCTAAAAAAAAAATTCTTCGAAAAAAATATGACATAAACAAAGGGAGAAAGACCGCATGAATTGCCGAGTCAAAAAATAATTTCAAAAATATTGTTTTTTGCTCGCTGTTTATTTGTGCTCACGCAGCGTTAAATCGCGCGATTTGCTCGCTTTTCCTCGTTTTTCCTCTTACTCCCTCTGTTTTTTCTCTTATTTTCCACCCAACGTCTCGTGTTTCACAATCGGCGCGTTTTGCTTTTGTTGCCAGCCAACTGGCGATGAGGAGAAGCACGTGTATGTCACGCGAAATAAGCCCAAGGAAATAGGTCTTCTTTGGTGGCCTAACAACAAAATTACGTATACGCAGTGGGGTCAGACAAGGTCTAAGAGAAGGCAGGAAGAATTGCTTGTGATCAATATTATTTGTATATATATTAATGTATAATAATTTATATTTAAGAACAGAATATATGGAAAAACCTCTCCTTATATTCTTGTAACTCTATTTCAACACGAAAATATAAATTATTTCAAAGCAGTTTAAACTTAAAAACTCATATTAACCCAAAAGCATGTTATCAGAAATTGTACAACTTTTTTTTTCGGTGGAATTCTAGCTTACTCTGCGGTTGTTCTTCGAGTGCCTCGTGGAGGTGCCTCTGATTCCACACCAAAACATGGCCATCGCGATGGCGATGATTCAGACTGCTGCGTCGAAAGGGCATCTTGGTTGGTTTTAATGCTTAGGGGTTGTTTGCTAAACTTAACTATATTAAATTCGGTATTTTCTAGTTTCGGTTTTTCGAGTTCACGACTTTTTGCGCACACGCTTAAACCATTTCATTGTCTATCTGTCGACTTTTCCGGCTGAAGACCGTAACATATCGCGGGCTGGGGAACTCGGAGGTTCTGCGAGGAAAAACTAGCTCTGTGATAGGGTGGTGCGGTGCCTTCGGCACTGAACGGTCAACTGAGTCGGTACTTTTCGCTCCCGCTTGTTGCTTTCAGCTTTTTCTACTGAGCGCCAACTGTTGCGTCGCCTTCGCTTATAAACCGCGAATGGGTATGGGTATGGCTATGGCTAAGGCTATGGGTTTCGGCATGGGTACCCTCTGTGGCTATTGAATTGGGTTCGGGTATTGTCGGGGTTCTGCGCCGGCGTCGCTCTCTCCGCCGCTGAGCAATTACATCAGCTATGGCTTTCAGATTTTCCCTAATCGAGTGAGGCGATGGAAAATTCTCCCCCGGCAAATGCATCATTTTGCGGTGCCCGGCGATTGATGTCAATTGGTAGAGTGAACTCTTTGCTCGGACCAAAGTCAAAGAAATCGTGCGCACCTCCATCGAGTATATATGTCTAATTATATCGGATGGACGTAAGCATACGAGTAGTACCATTCACACTCACATCTCGTGACTTTAGGCACATGGAATGGGGAGTAAACACGCGCTGCCTAAAATATATGCAATGCTAAGTGATTATGGTAATATTTTGGAAAATTACCAGGTACTTTTGGGAGGGTTCTAATGGTTTCTTGAAGGTTTTTTTGTATAGATGATTTTTAAAAGGAATTTTATAATAATGTTTTTTAAACATTTAAAAAGGAAAGTAATACTTTTGGAGATTTGGAACCCTTTTAAAGCTGTCTAAAAAAATGCAATGATTTATATATTATAGCTACATGGAATATCATTTATACTAGCATAATTTTGGGGCTGATTTATAATATATAATAAGGTTTTAAATTTTTTAAAACTAAATTTAAGCCTCAAAGTTATTTATTATACCTAAAACTTGTGTTATTTCATCTCTAAAATATATATATTTAGTTAAATACCCCCCAAAAACAAAAGCAAATGGAGCAGACACATGTAGACATATAGTATTTGCCGACTGCCGATGAAGTCATAGAAATGCGACGCCGCTAAATGGAGGCGCCCCGCACAAGGTGCACTATATTTTCTGTGTAATTACTGGTCATGCCAAAATGTATACACTATATAATCGCTTTGACAAGTTGTTGCTAATTTTGACATAGTCCGAATAAAAGAATAAAACCTGGCGGCAAGCGGTTCCCCCTTTGTTTTTGGTTTCCACAAACCTCAGACCGCGACCAAAGCTGAAACTGTAAAAATAGCTACAGTCACGCTTGACTCACACAAGTGTTTGTTTATGAACGGGTGTTATTGGTGGGTGTGTGTGTTGTGCGAGTCGAGAAGGCGGAGCTGGCTCTCAAAGTTTGCCGCCGGCTGAGACAGACACGTGTTTGTCGCCTGCTTCGTCTCACAAGTTTAATTTCTCGATCTAATGGGATCACCACGAATAGCAAATGAGCTATAGGTCAAAAGTATATTAAAAATGTTATTAAATTAATGTTTCTTTGGCAACATCTCAAATATTTGTTATTTATGAGTTCCTAGGAATATAGAGAAGTAAAAATATCTACTTTCTTAATTCCAACTTCATAACAAATAATTGTTATAATTAATTTATTACCCAAACCCAAAATCCAAATGACTTAAAAAGGTTTTTTAAGGATATTATTTTCTATATTTTTTAGGCATACCAATATTCAGATCAATATCTCAACCACAACCAGAGATCTACTAGATAATCTCCAACGGAACGATCCAATCCCCTATCTCTCTACCTTCTCTATGTTTTTATGATGCCTTTTGTTAATTGCTTTTTCGCTGGCATTGAGCGTGTCTGCTAAGCTCTCGTGACAGAAAAGAAGAGAAGCCATTCACACTGTCTAGCTTGACATATATAGAGGCATATGCCATATTCGCAATATATGAATCTGAATATGTACATATGTGGGGTGAATTTTTGGCAGACCCTCTAATGGAATATATTGTTTTTTTTTCGTGTGTGCGGAGTACAGTTGTGCGCGCGCTCAAAGCAATTAAGTGGTTTTTCATTTTGTCTGCCAACTATTTTCTATTTTTGTAGCTCGCCACAGCAAATGAGCATAATCTTGTTGATAATTATTTATGGATTTTTGCATTAGTTAATGATTTTACACATATTCTACATGGATTTGACATGACCAGGCTCTCTTTACTTTTTCATAGCATGCTTTTGGGGTGAGCTTTGGCGGCCAACGTAACGTATGCGTAATAACGTAAGCAGTGAGTGGCTTTCATTGAAAATGTAGCTTTCTTTTGTTATGGTTTAAATATGAGGGATTACGTTACTTGAGTAGGGAACAGATTCCTTGGAATTTCTGGATATTCCAACTTCTGATAATTGTAATCACCAATTGACGTTTATTTGTTTTTCAACTCAATTTCAGCATAAACAAGGCGCACTTGTCTCCTATAGAGGAGTGAAGTGAAGTGAAGTTCCTGGTATCGGGCATCTTGAGAGGTGCCAAAGAGTAGCGCAAATATTTGCACTCCATAAAAGAGGCGGGCTTTGTCTGCCACCGGTAAGGTTAAGCTGATGTCAGCCAGCGCATGTTTACTCCCAGTATTTCTTTTTATTATTATTGTTATAATCAGATAGTTTCAACTCAGAGACTCATTCAGTGGGTTAATTACTCTGAAATTTCTATTTAAGTTTCCCTTTTGCAGGTGAAATGGCAGCACACTCTCTTTGAATGAATCTCTGGGCTATTTTTGTGGTAATTGTAATGCTATAAAAATAGTAACAAGCGCACTCGAGATGAGATGAGTAAGTTGTCGCAAAAAAAAGTAAACGTAAATCAAATAAAATTCTACGAAAAATGTTGCAAAAGTCACGATCTCGTGAAAAAAAAGTACTAAGGAATTTCAACTGTCCAAATTGAATTCTTTATAGTGCTCGTCGTCTGTGAGCAGGCAATTTTCCAATTTAGCAAGTCCAGCTGAGATGGGCAGCAAATCGGATTACGCCAGAGCTCCGAGACATCAACAATACTATATGCTGTATATATGTATATACTGCGGATCCCATAGAAATATAGAACGGATATGGAGCTCCAGTCGAGCGCATCGGTGAACAGGTCGCTGCTTCCATTGTGAAATTAGTAGAGGGGGTTTTTTGGAGAGCGACCCATTATTGTGGCATCTAAACTACGGGGGCGTTGGCTCGGAAATTGAATAGATGCGAATATTTTCATCCAATTAATGGCTTGCATGTCGCTCACATTCAAATGTCAATATCAGGGCCAAAAGCCAGCGACCAACTGATGAAAAGAACCACAAAACTTGTCAAGCTGCCAGATCGGAAATTGTGTTTTTTTCTCTGCTCGTCACGACAACGTAGTGAAAAGAGCTTTGTAAATCGTAAAAGTTTAAAATGTTATTGTTGCTAATGAAAGTAAAAAGCGAAAAGTATTCGTTCTCGTTGGTATTCCAAGGCAATTGCCAGTGCATTTCCCTTGCTGACCTTAGCCGAGAATCTCTGGACGAGTATTTTTATTGCCATTACCTTGCAGAGTTCATTTGCACAGTTATAAACACGTACTGTATTTGGCGAAATGCCGCGATTTATAGCTCTGTTTTTGGTCCCCTTTTGTTTTTCGTATTTTAGCCGGTAACTGGTTTTGGCCAGTTGCCTACCAAAAAGGTGAACCGGGAACTACAAACAAACTGTGTCAAGTGGCAAGCAGATGACTCTTTTTGTGTGTAAAAAAATAAATATATTATTGAAATAGGAAGCCAAGATCAACGTAAACAAACCACTTGGTCTGTCTCCGAATGGCAGAATAATAGGCAAATTAGACACCACAATAGTAGGCGGTGTTGACTCAACTGTACCAACCACCCACTGGCACACACACCCCCTAAAAATACACGGAAAGAAATGACTATTAATTACCATCTTGATAATAAAATACCTAAAAATATATACACGTTTTACAGAAAGAAAAAGCAACTAAAAAATAAAAATCTTGAAATAATTTGTTTTAGTTCTTTTGTTTTTTGTTTATATAATATCACTGATTGTGAAAATATATTTTACAATTTTCTCTCCGCGCAAATTATGGTTTTTTTGTCACACAATCATTGTGAATTTGGCTCACGCATTGACGGCTTTTGTTTAATAATAAATTTAATTTTTCTCCTCTTTTTCCGTTGCATAACAAATAACTTCCGTTTAGCGGCAACCTTCTCATCCATTTTTGGGTCTGTTTTCGTTTATTTAAATCAAGTGGATTCCAGGAGAAGCCACTCGCAGGCATTGAGAATCCCATTTAATCGACTTCAAGTGTAATTTTCGAGTTTAACGATTGCTAAATAGCCGGGGCGAACGTGTTCTGGCTCTGTTAATTTGCCCGGTATTTTGAGCCAGTGAGAAATGTAAATTATATGTCGTCTCAGCAACTGAGACATATGTATATCCGACAGTGTATTGTCATGGGCAATAAATGGGGCAATTACCCGGTGACTGGGATCATAGACTTGGGGGAATCACAAACGGAGAAAAGAAAGCGAAACTATATTTGCATATTATTCAGATCAGTGATCATTATTAAAGGTAGTTAGGTTTTTACAGCCGGTTGCTAAGTTATTTCCTCTTGCATTATATATTTTAAGATATTTTATATATATCCAATATTTTGAAATGAAGACTGGAAACTCGTTTACCTTTCTAGACACTTTTATAATTATATCTAAAATAAATCCTCAATTATTTATAGTACTCTCTGCACTTCTTATACAAAGTAAACTCTAAATTCAGACCCTTAATTTGCATCTCCCTTATTATTAGCTTTAAAATTTATGATGTTTTTGTCACATCGCTCTATCTAGCCCTAGAGTGTGACCTAACAATGGGGGTGCCATTGCAATTGGGAATTATCTCAGCTATGGTGTAATTGAAATTGTGAATTATCTCGGCTGTAATTTGCAAATATTACACCAATTAAGTGTGATATTCTACCCCCACGCTCCGGCCTCTGTAATAATTATTATATATTTCATTTTTGTATAACTCACCTAGCGGAGGCTTCTCCAGATCCTTCTCAGTGCTCGCACAAATGGCCTCCTTTGATGCCGACATCTTGTTAATTGCAGAGTTGTTTTAAGCTTTTGTTGAAGTTTAAACACAAAGTGTTAATGCAAATTGATTACACCGCTGCAGGTGGCACGTTTAAATATCACAATGTAAGTACTACACGGCTCAGAATGGAGAAAATAAACTCAGTGTCTGAGGTGTGTTGCAGTGGAATGAGTATTTGCTGTTTAATTATTGACCAAAGCCACACGGCTTTTATTATTTTTATTATTATTTATTGTCCCGGCTCACGTTGAGCTGGAGATTCAGGTGATTCTGCAGGTGACTGTGACTCCTCTTCACTCGCGATCTGCTGCCGCTGGCAGCTGGATTTGTTCTGATTGACAGTCGGCGGGCAGCGGGCCTTAAATAAGCCCCGAACCTGAGCTTCAGACCGAGTCTGCTCTGTCTGGTCCGTCTGTTTGCTGCTGTTTGCACGATTTATTCGCCGGTCTTGTTGACACTCGGTCGGTCTTCGGGGACGGGATCCGGATCCCTTCACTTCTCCAGCAGTTTCCCCGCTTTTCTGGCAGATCGACGATCGCAGATCGCAGATCGGCAGATCAAGCTGTTAATCTGAAAGCAGAGCAAAGCGGTCAACAAATTAGTTTGATAAATTTAGACGGCTTGAATTGGTTTGGCAAACGCCAAGTGTCGCCGTGTGCGAAATATCCATAGTCATTCCGTCTCTAAATCGGCATTTGATTTCGCGATCTCACGAGTCTGAGTCTCCCTACGCACGTTTTCCCAGTTAACAGCGAACGGCGATCAAATATTGGATTCGGTTATACGGGAATATATACTTATAAGAAATTGACAGATCAATCTGATCGAAGGTACAGTTTGTCACCCGATTTCTTAGCCAATTCTAAAGCCTTGAATATATTTTTTTTGCCTTTTTCTGGGCCATACAAGGCTAGTTTAATATTTGCATTCATATAATATATTGCACTCGAATTGCACAGGTAAAGTAATTAACCTTACAGCTCTACTTATCTCGGGCCGCAAGCCTGCTATTGACAATTTCGGGGCCCTGATGATGTAATTTGTTTATCATTTTATTTTTCATATATTTTTTTTACTTTTACTTCACGGTCGCGCGACTGGCAAACTACCGAAAAAATGTTTCCCTTTTGAAAGAAACTGGTTACGCGGTTCGCCGAAACATATTTCCAGGTAAATTCATTATAACAGCGCTTTGATTCTACATTTATTTAAATCCCCACACATATATGTACCGTAAATAATAAATAACAATGCGCACTTGGGTGTTGTGTGAGCGGAATCTCAATTGTTTTTCGAATGGCTTGCACGTCAGAGGAGGAGAGCTTAAACAAGAAAAAACATTTTGGAAAGTTTCGTAAGACGTCTCAACAACCTGCTCTCCCCCAGTGCCTTCTTTTTTGCCCAATTTGTTTGCGCCGATTTCTTAGAAATTAAGCCCACACAAAACCCTAATTGGGCTGTTATATGCCAGAGTCTGGTAAACAATAAAAAATAAACATGTCAAGTAGGGGGGTGCCCACTAATTACAGTAGAACTGTTGCTAAATTTCCATAACTTCAACTGGATTTTTTGAAAAACAAACATCAGCTTGGCTAGAAACACATTTGTTTGTTTTTATGATTCAGATGGGAAATATTTATATCTCATTTGCCTTTGTAATCTGTTACATTTATCCTTATCGCACTTATGCATAAACAATTAATGAATGCATTTATTCTATAACCCCTTGGTGAACCCCATATCGATAGGCTCGTGATCGATCAAAAATAGAAACGTGATCTCTATAGCGTTACTTAATATGATGATCCACTAAAGTAGCACAAATCTCGAGTTTCCTTTGCCGCATTTCTGTCACAAATATTGATCAATTTAGACAATTAGCAAAGTGACTTTCGGGTAAACATCGGACACAAATACCGGGGATATCAAACGTGGACGTGGAATGATTTTGCATTTTATGGCTAAATGCTAATCGCTAAACCGCAGATCGCTGAAAACAGTCAAGTGCGATGGTTGCCTGGCTCCTGGAGCAGCTTCAAGTCTATCTATAACTGATATTGTATAAGATTTAAACAATTTAAATGAAATTCCCCTTGGCAAGGGCTAATTTACTACTGCTTCGTGTGTAATTACTTATCTCTAGCCTATAAATATTCCTAATGCAATAAATTTAAATGGAAAACGCTTAATGTTAATGCCGCAACTGTCGGCGGTTGCTGGCATTAAAAGTGCATTAGTAAATAATAATAAATGGCCAAAAATGTATAGACTTGTGGTCGTCTATAAACCATTTTTACTGCAAAGGAGTAACCAATAGAATTTATAAATCTTATCGCTATCGGTAATGCTTCTTAATCGGATTGAAAAGTGCGCCAAGGCGCTAGCAATTCATCGTCAAGTGGCGGAAATTTCGTCAAGATAAGTGCGATTCCAAAAGAGGCTGACAAAGTTCGTTTTGGCCAAAAGCCCAGTCCCGTGCTTGTAAATTCCCTGCCAGACAGATTTATTGACAGATTGCCGAAGCGGAGCTTCTATCCCGATAAATTGGAATTCTCCGAATGGTGTGCCGGTGGGTTGCCATGAGGGGGCACACTATTAACTGCCTCTGTGACTCTGGGCCGTAAATCAAAAACGGTTATCACCGTTTGTATGTGTGCACAGAGTCGAGTGGGAAACCTCTCATAGATTGCACGGCATTACGAACCCTGGACGGAAACGAGATACACGTGCTAATTATTCTTCATTCACCCTTTTTCGGCTCTTCGACTGACTGAGATGATGGCCATAAAGCGACACAAGACGCCTGATATCAGATTGCCTTAATTATGTCATAATTGGGCTTTATCGCCGGTCCATAAAGCAGCCTTCGTCACATATACAATGGATTCGTGACGAGGCAGGGGTAAATTTTCCATCAGGTTTCGGATTCGGTTAGTCCCATTGGCGCTTTAATGACGTATCCTCTTGAATTAATTTATTTTAATGTTATTCGCCATTTGTTCCAATTGTTGGCAACATTTCCAGCATCATTTCCATTTCCAGTTGCATTTCAATTTCCACTGGGCCGGTTTTTTGGCTGCAAGTGGAGCGCCAGCCAGTAGTAGTGTTTGCATTCAGCTTTTCAAGTTCAAGTTCAGGCCCGGGTTTCAACCTCAACTCACATTCACATTCGATTCGGCCGAGTGGCTATGCACTGAGCTCAAATGTGGCTGCTTCTAATGTTGGAAGAGGGAACTACCTAATTTAAATAGGAATACTTTTCAAAAACATTTTTAGATAAATTTCTAAACCCAAGCTAAAAATCCTGTTCTCCTATATTTCAAGACTATGTTTCTGGCTTCTAAACATTCCCTTTTTATTTGTTCAGTGTATTATTTATAGCCCGAGTGTTTACATTGTTCTGCGCTGCTCTCGAACAGTGGGAAACTGTTTAAGTCCGGGGTCTTAGGGGCCCTCAAAAAGGTATTTTCACGTGCTTATCTGCTTATCGGTGCGCATTTTAGCACTTGAACCGGACCGATTGTTATAGGATCGAAATCGAAATCGGGATTTGCCATGAAATCTATAGTCTAGGGTTCTCGTAATCACTGGCCACTTGTCTGCGAGGAAGTAAGTGAATGTTACACACGAAATAATGCATCATTAGCAATCGTAAATCATTCACTTCAATCGAGTTCCTTGACAATAAAGAGCCATACTTTTCTGTTCTGCTTACTTAACTCGTTTTTTTTGTTCAGCCTTTTGTTAATTTTTTTTATTCGTAATTATTTGCATACGATGTAGGGGGAGGGGGGTCTTAAAACATATTTATAAAATTTTTGTGGCTTTAATTGGCAGGCGGTTTTTAATCAGAAACTCACTCACCTCACTGCGAAATGAAGTGAATTGAACTGAACACAAACACACGCGCTAACAAAAAAGAAAACAACTTTTCAAAAATACGAATCAGCTGTTTTGCCTTACTCTGGTTTTTTTAAATTATTTTCCCTGTCTTAAAGTTTTTGCCATGAGGCTAATTACAGGGCACGCCTGATGGAGGGATCCAATAAAAAGTAAAGGTAGTTAACTCTGGGAATTTACTTTTTATTAGTTGCAGGCTTATTTTTAGCACTTTTTACTTTGTTTTGAAAAGCAATGGAAATGCTGTATAAATATAGTTTATTTATAATTGCAGTGCAAAGGAGAGTTTCCTAATCTAAATATTAACACATAGCACTTTTTCTTTGATATTTAAGACCAGAAAGTAATTATTTTTTTTAACATTTTACATTTTCTAAAACAGGAAGAAACTGAATTTATCTGTCGAGTGTTCACTGTTTCTTCCCTAACTGGATACCAGCGAATTAGCGGACAAAAACAAAGGAGCAAAAATTAAAAACGCAGCAAAATTCTCTCAACTTTAGATTTTAGACTTGAAATTTGTCACTCACATTTTTATTTTGTGGAAGCTCCGCACGCACTTTTGGGGAAACCAGCCTTTTTTCCTTGCTATTTTTCCGGGCTTTTCACTTGTCGCCTCTTTTCGCAACGAGCGTTGGCACTGTAATGAGTTACTACCTCGGCTAATTGAACGTTTTTATAATTTTGTTTCTGTTTTTTGCTCGCATCGCGGCTACGTTGACGCCGACAGCGACCGAGGCGGCGGCGTTAGGAAGCACGAAGCTCTCAATTTAATTCATCGGCCGAGCTTCGTTTTGCCTGATACCTGCCGGCCAGGTGATAATGATTATGATAACTGGCGGCCATAAACCAATTGAACGAGTGGAGTGACAGGTGAAACGGCCCTTTGAGGATCTCACTGGGAGAGTGAGAGAGAGACTGTGTTCCTGTCATGGAATAACATTTAAAGAGAGCCAAGAGAGTCAAGTGCAGTTACTTTGATTCGACTCTCGCTCAATCGTGTGCCGCTCACGTGAGCTCTCACTCGCACTTTCTGGCAAATTAATAACTTAATTGCTCTCACTCGCATGAGAGACGCATGGCGATGAGCGATGAGAGGCTTTTACGATATTGACAAATTGACAAGAATAATGGAGAGATTTACAAGGACGGAAAAGTCAAAATATGGGGATAATGCCTGATACACCCCCCCAATCAAAGCCAAGAAACAGCTTTAACAACTCTGGTTACGCACAAGAAACTTGCCTTTTCTGCGTAAATCCGTTTTATTATCAGCTTAGGTATTCGAATTTCAGAGAAAAAACACTTAAAAAATGAAAATAATGAAACTAAAAAGTATTTTTAAAATTTAAAACTAATAAAAACATAAATAATTGATAAAGTTTTCTAAATTTTAATGCTATATTAATCTAGAACTATGTATATTTAAAAATGAATTCCTTAAATAACTTTCAAATTATATTTGCTATTTTATTTTCCTGAATTTTTGATATAAATTGATTACCCTCCCTCTATTCTTTTTAAAATTTTCTTAAAAACCCCTTTCATACCTCCCCATTTTCCGCAGTGCCTCAATGCGCCATAAACCGACTTTGGTCAGCGATAAGGCTAAGGCCAGTTCTCTTTTGCAGGTAGCCAATATCAACTGATTTCGGGTCTATAAAGGGTCGTAAAACACAATCTTGACCAGCAGTAGCACCAATGTGCTACAACAAAACGCGTATATATAAGATATACACATATATATAGGGTCGCCACCATGAATGACTGATCCGTTGGGGCTGGGAAAACCTAGTCACATGACTTGGGATTATGGTCTTTGGATTAGCCTAACAACCGCGACTCCGCATGGTATAACCTTTCGGAGATCTGCTATCGCTGGTACAGGCTATAAGTATGACAGCTTCGAGTGCCATTCAATTGCCCGTGCCAAATCATATTCGAGCAATCCAGCGGTCCCACGAGTACATTATCTCACCATTAATTGTATTTTGCAACTCAAGATAGGACAAAAAGTGAGCTTCAGTGACGGAGTCCCGGGTATCGGATCGATGCAGAAGATATTTCAGCGCCGCAATTGATCGGCTATCGTTTTTGGTTTTGGGGCCCGTCGTTTGACGCAATTAGTATAAAACGCTTTTGTTCTCGGATTCCCATATGTGCGGATTTCTGTTTTGGCCTAGATAACAGAACGCGTACAATTAATGAGTGAGATTGCATTACCTTCAGGTGCAAAACAAGGGTAAGAGTGCTTCTATTCGATTATTTGGCATTATCTTTGATGAAATGCCAAGTGATTTTCCATAGAAGAATTGAGTCACTCAAGCAAAGAGATACTAGGAAAGAGCAGTAGTATGGCTGTTTGATAATTAATTACGATTAATTTGAGACACAGTCTTGCCACAAAAATGTACACGCGACTCAAAGAAATATATATTTAGTAGAGTACAAAATAATATTTAATCATTTAATAAAAAGTAATAAGTGAGTCAGTATGTATAATGTCAGTGCAAAGTATATTTATTTGTTTTATATATTTATAGCTGACTGCTCTTGGTGTTTTCTGAAAATGAAGTCACAAATTATAATGATAAGAGACACTCTTTATTTGTATATATATTTATTTTGAAGATTAAGTAATCTGATTAAAAGTGTTAAGATCTGAGGCTTTGGAATTATGACTGCAGTAACTATATTTATATATGTAATATGTAATTTATATTAACAGTAAAATGGTACAGAATCTAAATATTTTATAAGCCTAAGCGTCAGACTCTTTACAATTCTTTAAATTCAAGATTAAGATTAAGATTATTAAGCGGAACAAAGCAATTTGAACTACTTAAGATAATCTCAGTAATTTAACTGTAAGAAAAACTTATATAGGAACTACGAAATCACTTTAAATGACCTGAAACAGCAAGCATTCCAGTTATGAATAATATTAAGTTCATTTACCTGAAAATGTACCCATATATATAAATAGAAACCTCTAACAATAGTTAATATTAAAAATAATACTAATAGCAAACAAAGCATTGAAATTACCCATGACTTACATTAACTAGATTTATTGCGGAAATCAGTTCCACTTTCAATAGTTCTAACAATTAACTGGCATTACCCTCAGTAGCAAAACCATGTCAGTACGGACAACTCAAGTGTTAACAATTCTATTTTTGACACCAATTGCAGTCACAAAAAACCCGCATTATCCTTGCATAAAATGTGGTAAAAATGCCACCGAATCATTTTGTTCTTCGCGCTGTGAGGAGACCTGCAAGTACAAGTCCCTCGGATGTCCGCCCAGGGTCTGTGGCGGTCCCTGTGTCTGCCGAATGGGTTATGTAATCGATGAAATCAAAAAGGATTGCGTCCTAAGAAAGGATTGCAGTGAGCAACAGGTGGAAGTGCCCTCTTACGAGGTGACCAGTGTCCCGGGCTTTGGTGCCAACTATGATTTTGTCAGGGAGCTTGACCCTAAAACAGAGAAATCTAAAAATTGTAAATAAGTAATCCATTAAATCTGCATAATAATGTGGAACAAGCACATCCTTGTTTCAATTTTTTGTGAAATTCAGTCATTTCTTAAACGAAAACAAAAATAAATCAGTTGGAAAGCTAAACATGAGGCGACTGATAGCTGATTAGAAGGTAAATATGGCCATAAAACACACAGCCCGGCGACAATATATCGCATATAGCCCCCATTGCAATCGAGTGGCTAGATAAGAAACGTGCCGCAAATCGGCCGAGCCGTTCGCTCACGTTCACGTGATGTGCACGCCGATCCATCCGGCCGAGTACATCTACTACTCATACTTGCAAATATGGGCACAAAACGACAGGTAAATCGCGCACAGGTAAAACAGCGACACCAGCCGCCAACAGCGATAATGAATAACAAGCACAATTAACGCCATCAACAGCGGGGACGATGTGCTAAATGCTGATACAAATGGCTTATCTTGTCACCGATATTTGGCCCAGACAACCCACAGAGAGAGAGAAAGCGAATGTCTCACCAAGATTCCAGACTTCTTCTTGGACTCCACTGCAGACAGACCAACGACGACCATGTACCGAGTGTAATCCCGGCAAACATGGCCAGTCAACGCTGTTTGAGCTGGTCTATTAGAGTAGAGGCAAATAGATAACTTAGAGACCAGAAATGTGTGCTAGTGCTAAATATTGTGTCAGGCGTTACTCATACGCAGCGTGGGCTCGTTCAAGTGATTGTATTTGACAAGGGCACCTAGAAGTATGCTTTGGATTTTGAGGTGTGGTGAAAATTGGGAAGTAAAGGTTGTAAAATAAATAACTTGGAAGAGGATTTCATAAATATCTAGAACCTATTGAAATACACTTCCAAACATTTGAATTACAGCCAGTTACAGGCCACAAATATTCCTTAACTCTTATTTAAATTACATTTTCTTTTGCTACACCAAAAAACGTTACAAAATGCCCTGCAGAATCAACGATACGGACTCGGGTTCCACACGTTTTCAGCCGAGTGTAAGAATTGGCAATTGGTTAGAGGACACGTGTCTGGAGGAAGTAAGCTATTCTAATAAAAATAATAAATTAAATAAATAATCTAAATTAATTGCAAATTCAAAGGACAAAATAGTAAACTTTAAGATACAACACGATAAGGGTGAACTTCTTGTGGTTAAGGCACGCAAACTGTATGATAATTTCCTCAAACCTATTGTCCTGGCTGCCCCCAAACAGAACATCATATTCGGGGATGTGGTGCAGCTGATGCCATTTACCATGGGCATCGAGGGTCTAAACTCTAGTGATTTTAATCCCGCTCTATCGCTGGTGCTCAACGAGAAGTTGGTTTATCGCAGTCAAACGATCAACGAGGACTGTGAGTTGTCGGTGGCAGCCTCTGGGCATCCTTGTGTCCGGAACTCCTTTCGCATTGTCAGCGGAGACGATCGTGATCGTACGGGGCAGAATATAAAGTATGGCCAGAGATTCCAGCTGCAGTGCATGTCCGATGAAGATGATCCCATTGTACTGTACAGCGGACCCAAGCGGTGCAACCTGCAGCAGGGCATCAATGCCAGCTATATGTCGCATAATCATGGCGAACTGAATCTCAACTTGGGGCTAGTTCAGCGCAGTGTAGGTTTATTTTCTGATATAAATATAAATTATTTAACCGAGGCTTAAAATTCGTTACAGAAATGTTCTTGTCCCAACTCTGATGTTCCTATGGCTTATACCAACTGGTTTTGCATTCACGTTAACCCAAAGCTACGCTTTGAAAGCGAAGGCGAAGATATACCCGTAAATGATTTTAAATTTGTATTAATTCTTATAATAATCTCTTGACTTTGCACAGAGTAACTCCCCCTTGGTGATTGTCCATGCCACGACCAATAGAAATCTGGCTGCCGAAAATGTTATGGTGCCAACTCTGTTTGGCACAGAATTCCTGGTTTCCGTTCAAAATTATCGCAATATTTTCAAGTATGAAACCTGGAAGAATGTCTGGATTATAAGCAATGGACATGCAGCTGGTGGATCCAAGAAATCCGATGCTCACTGATTTTTAGGAACAAAAACTACAAACAAAAAAGGCCATGGCAATTTAATGCGCGTTGAACTTGATTTTTATTTGGCTAAAATTTAAATTTCGCACATGAAATCGTGTCGGGCCGAGCCCCTGTAGTTTGGCCTAGTTACAAATTAGCAATTACTAAGCAATTTGAAAAATAACTTTAAGTAGAGCGGTACCTTAAAGTGTTTTAATGTGAGTTAAATAATTAGTTGGGTGTGAAATATATTTTTAACAACAAAAGGGTCAAGACGATCCTTAAACTATCGTTTTTCACCAAATTCTGACTGAAATCTTTATACCTTCCAAAGGTATACAAACGCACAACCAAAAAACTGAAACCCCACCTAACTCATCACTATCATCATTACTATCGCAAGTGCTTCCCACATGGAAGTGTGCCATTCGGGCGATAAAACCACTCGAATGAAACAACCCCAAAAGACCTATAAATAGGCAACACCCCCACCACAGTCAACACACTCAACCTTTGTCATGTCTCAGCTTAAGACTACTGCAACACCTCTGATCCTCCTCCTGGCTGTGGCTTCCACTCTCGGCGAGATGGAGCCGTCGGAGGAGGAGGCCCGGATCATAGGCGGACAATTTGCAGCCCCAGGACAATTTCCGCATCAGGTTTCCTTGCAGTTAAAGGGTCGCCATCACTGCGGTGGCTCCTTGATCTCCGAGACAATGATCGTGACGGCTGCCCACTGCACCAGAGGTCAGAGTCCCAGCCAGATGATGGCCATTGTGGGCACCAACGATCTGAGCGCTGGCAATGGCCAGACCTTCAGCATTGCCCAGTTTATCATCCATCCGCAGTACAATCCGCAGAGCCAGGACTTTGACATGTCGCTGATTAGGCTGAGCAGCCCCGTGCCAATGGGAGGATCTGTGAAGACTATCCAGCTGGCCGAGTCCGATGCCAACTATGCTGCTGATACTATGGCCACGATCAGTGGCTTCGGAGCCATTAACCAGAACCTGCAGCTGCCTAACCGCCTCAAGTTTGCCCAGGTGCAGTTGTGGAGTCGCGACTTTTGCAACTCCCAGAATATTCCCGGGCTCACAGACCGCATGGTCTGCGCCGGACATCCCAGTGGCCAGGTCAGCTCCTGCCAGGGTGATTCAGGTGGTCCTCTAACCGTCGACGGCAAGCTCTTTGGCGTTGTGTCCTGGGGATTCGGTTGCGGCGCCAAGGGACGTCCCGCCATGTACACCTATGTGGGAGCCCTGCGATCCTGGATCAAGCAGAATGCCAATGTTTAAATGGAGATTTTTGGTGTGAACCCTTTTGATAACCGACTTGAAAATAAACTTATTTTGCAAACATTATTTAAGAGATTATTTATGGACAAGAAAGGAAGCTAACTTCGGCACGCCGAAGTTTGTATACCCTTGCAGATTGGTTTTTATGTTTATATTATAGATTTAAATGCTGAAAACACTCACAAAACAGAGTTTCATTACATTTTACCTATACTTATTATGTTTACAGTTTGACAGTTTCAGTTTTACATTCCCAGCTTTACATATTTTATACATTTACCGATCGCTTCTATGGCAGCTATATGATATAGTTGTCCGATTTTTATAAAATTTATACCATAATTCTAGAATAATAAAAAAAGCTTATATCTGAGAGTATATAAACATACGTTGAAAAACAACGAAGCTAAAAAAAACCCTGCAGCAGGCGTAAATAATTAAAATATTAATAAATACAATTTAAATATGTAAATGTAATTGATGGAACACACAAATATGAATCAATAAAAGATGGTGAAATCAATGTGCAATTTTTTTGCGAAGGCGGAATTTATTTGGGATCGTTTGGGGAAAAATCTAATTATTTTGAAAGCAAAATCTAAATTTTTAAATTTGTTTTCTGAATTTTAAACATTTTTTTCAGATGTTTTACAATTCTTCTAATTTTTTAAAAAATTGTTCTAAATTTTACAAATTTTTCTGAATTTTAAATATATATTATATTTATTTAAGAATTTTTTTAGAATTAAACAAAATTTTTTTTAAATATTTTAACTGCCAAATTTTAATTTTAATTTAACTGCCAAATTTGAATTTGAATTTAACGACGATCAGTTTCAGTGTGCCCAGGTGCATTTAAGGAACATTTTAGCCAAAAAATTTACAATATGGTCACATCTGGTTTGAGTCTTCGCTTACTAACAGTGTGCCCAGGTGCAGTTGTAAAATAACACCTAAATGTGGATTCAAAAGGTTTGAGTCTCCGCTAACTTGCGCCGGCTCCGAAATGGTTTGAAACTTGGACAACATTTACAATATGGTCACACTGGCACGTTTTTCGTGGCCCAAAGTTTTTATAACAGTTTATACCAGTTTTCAGGTGCTTGCTGCTGGTTTCTGTTCGCCTGTTACCCCAATTTGGGAAACGGGCAATTTGCATGGAAAATTTCAGAAATTTGTATGGGCTGCTGCAGGGATGTTGTTGTAAAGGGGTTGTTGTTGCCATCAAGCTGTTGTTGTCGGCAACAAATAGGTATAAATGCATAAAATGAAATATAACAGTTTATACCAATTATTATTTTTGCCCAAATGTTTTTATAACAGTTTATACCAGTTTTCAGTTGCTTGCTGCTGGTTTCTGTTCGCCTGTTACCCCAGTTTGGAAAGCGGCCAATTTGAATGAAAAGTTTTGCTCACTTCAATCAGTGATGCTCACTTCCATCAGTGATGCTCACTTCCATCAGTGATGCTCACTTCCATCAGTGATGCTCACTTCCATCAGTGATGCTCACTTCCATCAGTGATGCTCACTTCCATCAGTGATACTCACTTCCATCAGAGATGCTCACTTGCATCAGTGATGCTCTATTGGGACTGCCAGTGATGCTCATCTAGCTATTTTGCATTATTGGGACAAAATGGCATTTCACTAACTGCCAGTGATGCTCATCTAGCTATTTTGCATTATTGGGACAAAATGGCATTTCACTAACTGCCAGTGATGCTCATCTAGCTATTTTGCATTATTGGGACAAAATGGAATCTCACTAACTGCCAGTGATGCTCATCTAGCTATTTTGCATTATTGGGACAAAATGGAATCTCACTAACTGCCAGTGATGCTCATCTAGCTATTTTGCATTATTGGGACAAAATGGCATCTCACTAACTGCCAGTGATGCTCATCTAGCTATTTTGCATTATTGGGACAAAATGGCATCTCACTAACTGCCAGTGATGCTCATCTAGCTATTTTGCATTATTGGGACAAAATGGCATCTCACTAACTGCCAGTGATGCTCATCTAGCTATTTTGCATTATTGGGACAAAATGGCATCTCACTAACTGCCAGTGATGCTCATCTAGCCATTTTGCATTATTGGGACAAAATGGCATCTCACTAACTGCCAGTGATGCTCATCTAGCTATTTTGCATTATTGGGACAAAATGGCATCTCACTAACTGCCAGTGATGCTCATCTAGCTATTTTGCATTATTGGGACAAAATGGCATCTCACTAACTGCCAGTGATGCTCATCTAGCTATTTTGCATTATTGGGACAAAATGGCATCTCACTAACTGCCAGTGATGCTCATCTAGCTATTTTGCATTAATTAATTTAATTAAATTAATTAAATCATTTTTATTGGGAAAAGCATTTAATTTTACACTTATTTTACACGTAGACGTTAAATGTCTCCCATAGATGGCGTCTTTCATGTTCAGAAACTGCCCGATAGATGATTTAATCAAGGTAATTAAGCCAAAACAATTAAAATAATATTTAAAATTTGTATATTTACAAATTAGAACCCGAAACAATTAAATTAATATATAAGAGCTTATAATTTTGTGTGTTTTCAAAATTTTCCACATTTATAAATCCGCTTAAACTTTAAAGACAACAAGCAGTAAGCCGAGGACGCTATACTGGATGGTGAAAGAGAATAATTTTAAAACTATACAAGTTATTGTCTTTTTGCATTTTATTTGTGCCAAATCATAGGAATTATGTTCCACAAAGAGGGCACCACCGACGTCTTCTGCCTTACTTGATAAATTTGAACTGAAAAACGTCAATAAATTTGTACGCCAATGCCAAATGAATCCCATATGAAAACAAAACACCTCTTAACTTATTTTCAATTCACATATTTTTATTTATAACTGTATCTGTGATTCCTTTGCACAATTCTTGCGTCCTGGCTACACATTTACTACGCGCTTAAAGTTAAACTATGGTAAGATGTAGTTTTTTTAAAAAAAGATTATCGACCACTTCGTGTATGGCTTTTGGTTTCGTACGTAAGTTGTAAATGCCGCCTACAGTGAAGCTCGCTGGCTGGAATAGAACTCAGCAAATGAAGAACAAGCTGTCGCCGCAGCATCGTGATATATATGGTATTACTGTACGCTTTAGTCTTGGATAAACAGTATCTAGTCGATAGTTATATGTACACATTCAGCATGATGCGATATGGAATTTTACAGTACGGTATATACACAGTCGCTGTGATTGTGACCTAGCCTAAACCTACAAAGAGTTCGATGAACGATTTAGGAGAAATAATTATGGTGTATAGTAGTGTGTGTGTCAGAATGCGTCCGTTATAAATAGAAGGCACTATGCACATTTACGCTAAGGACTAACGCTATATGTATCTTCTGTGATATCGATAGTTGGGAAACTGATATTTGTAAGTACTACAAGCTGGCTTAGGATATGTTTTACTTTTCTTTTGAGAATCCAACGGAAAGAAATGCAACGGATCTTCAAAGAAAGGGGAACACAAAGGATACACAAAATCTAAACATCTAAACGTAATTTGGCATAAGATTTCCAACGCTCCAACTCGCTCGTCTAAAAATTAAGCAACACAAAACCTCCCTAGATCGTACTGTAGGAAAATAAATAAAATCAAAATTTTATAGGGAATGCTGGGAGGCGAAACGAACAAAGGCTATCACCAAAATGCTATCCAACTCGGACTTAGCCTACGGCTTACTCACTAAAACATATATTTGGAATGAGGCTTTCGCAAAGCCATTTGATGACATTTGTTTTTCTTATTTCTTTTTTTTTTTTGTATCTTCTTAATGTTTTTTATAAAATTCATAAATATTTCAGAGCCTGGAGAGTAAGTCAAACAAACAAAAACATTCCGTAAATTGTGCTAAACGTTTACAAATTTAAATGCAAAAATTGCGCTACGACTTATCGCCTTCGTTCGCTTGTGTTTGGCCTTGGCTCGGCTCAGCTCCTTAAACCTAATCTAGACTTGGGTCTAGACTTTAGAGAACTAAACATCTTATCTTATAGCTACTGTACAGCAGTCGTTCATTCAGTGTCTGTGTCTGTGTTTGTCTAGTCTGCGGGTGTGTTTGTGATTGGTTGGTGCTTAAGGCTAAGTAACGTCTATTCTGTTGTTTGGAAACTTGTATAAAGTTAAGTTATATTTATATTTATATAGCATGGCAAGTGATGCTGCTGCCACTATCTGTCCCATTCCCCGTCTATTGCACATGCCTCGCGGATCCTTTTACTACTCCAACTCCTGTCTCCACTCCATGACTGGCTTCTTGCTCCTGCTGCTCCCCCGATCCAGCTGCTGCTATGCATGTGGTGGCTGGTGTCGCCGCGAAGTGGGCAACATAAGGTTGCCCCTCGCATAAAAGTAGCCTCACAACTTGGAGCTGTCGTAGTTCTCGAGGGACCACTGCTGGCGGCTAAGCTCACTGTTGCACTCCTCCATCAGCAGACGGTCCTTGTTCTCCGAGATGGCCAGGCACTTGCCAGAGGTGCCGTGATGCAGCTGTTTGGTGTTTTCGCGGTACGACCAGAACTGTAGGGAGAAAAAGGTTTTATTAGATGGAATTTTATTTAAATTAATCATTTTACTTAAATATATTTCTTACAACTTTAAAAATATATTTTCATATTGAAAATCCCCCATTTAAATCAGTAAAAATCTTTCTTCTTTTATCCTTATGTTTCCTTGCCCTTTATTTATTATACTCACCTGATTTCCTTTGCCGCCATGACAGGCATACAACGTCACATCCTTGCCGGCAAAGTCCAGACAGGAGTCGTCGCGTCGTATTTCGCCCGCCTTGCTCAGCATCCAGTACTACAGAAATCGGAAGGAGACACCGGGGATTAATATAAATTGTAATGTCAGCGAATGCGTTTGCCAGTTTGCCAGCAGCGAAAGAAAAGTTTTGCCAGGACTACCTACAGTCGCACAACTTTATTACACACTAATGTATTATTCAATTAAATGCCAAAAAGCAGCTCTCAGTGTGTGTGTGTGTGTTGTATGTGTACATATCCTGTGGGTGTGGATGTGCGAGTCTGGGCTGGCCATGATTATTTATAATTTAAAACACGTTGCCAATGCCAGATGGCCTGAGCTGGCTGCTACAGAATCTGCTGGTGACTGAAATTGCCTTTGTTTGCGGCTGCCACGCCCCCTCTTCACCCATCGAGCCCCCCTTTTGGCAGGCGGGTCGTGACCAGCCGCCATTTTGTGTTACCATTTCCGTTTCCTGTCGTTGTTGCCTCTACCGGATAGACACCCTCCACTCCTGCTAGCCTTCTTTATTTTGTTTATAATGATGCCGGGACTGGAATAATGATGAGATCGGTCGAGGGGATGTTGTGTGCCATGAATAATTACTGTTATTGTTTGACCAGTTCAATTAGGGGGAGTGGCCCAAAAGCTTCATGCGTCAATGGTTTGCTCTGATAGCTAATACTAATGAAATTTTACTTTTTCTACTTCAAAATATCATTTTAAAAGGGGATTTACTGAAGAGAGAAGTATAGAAATAGAAATTTCCGCTTCAGCTTAAATGAATAATCACATTTGAAGAGGCATTGCTGCTTCTTGTTACTATTTATTGCTTGCAATCCTATAAATATCCCGCCTTTCTTATCTGTGACATTACTCCTGCTCTGTATCCTTTTAGACCTCCGCCTTAGAGCATTGTCACGTACTGCTATTGCATCCAGACTAATGCACCGTCACCGCCCGTCCAAGGACGTTTCCCGCCGCAGCAGCGTTTATGCATCGTGTTCATCCTCGCTCATTGTTTAGGCTTACGACCCGCTTACACCCCACACACCCGTCGTCGTTTCATCTGTCGTCCTTGGCGTTCTCAATTTGCATTTTCTTTTTATCCTTCCGCTCCCTTTTTCCCCCGCTAGTATTGCGCGCGAGATGCGTTTTTAATTACGTTTTTTACGTCTCTCGTTTTTTCCACTCCCCGGCTTTTATCTAGTGTATTTTTTATGTGTGTAGCTTTATTTCCTTTTTGTTCTCTCCCACTGAACAAATTTGTTTGCTGGCTGCACAACAAATATTTTTGCTAGCCGAGACGCGTTCGTTTTTTTTTTTCCTTTTTTCGCGCACACGAGAGAAGTACTTTCATTATGTGGACAGTACTACTAACCCCTTTTGGGGGCGCTTGGGTTTTTTTTTTCGGTAGATATATCCTTTGACGCGGCAGTCGTCAGCGGTATTTCCGCGCTCATCCAGTTTTCCGCTTTTCCCCATTTTTCTCGGTTCGCCAGCTAAATTTCGCGATGTGCGAAATTAAAATTTGCGCTCAAAAAAGCGAATCCGCATCCTGCATGTTGTCCCGCTGCAAATGTTGATTATTTTATACGCTGCCGCATTTTGGAGAGCAAGCAAACATTTGGTTAAATCTTTTTTAAAGCGGTATATGTGGTTTTTTTGGGGGTATAATCAATTTCACTAGGCTTGGGTCACTAAAAATATGGTTTGTTTTCAAGTCAATGTCACAGAAATTGGTATGGAATAGAAATAAATTGAGTAAAGTATCTGAAAGTCACTCGTATAATTGGAATTTAATGTTTAAATAAACAACTTTAATTGTATAAAAGAAGTGAGCCCTCAAAATGGTAGTGAAAACTGAATAGCCAGGTATCTTATGGTCGTTTCCCGTATATTTTATTCTATTTTTAACTATTCTCCCTTAAATGCAGCTTCTATTTGTTGCATAGTGTTGGGGAGGGATGGGGATCCTGGGCAGCAGGCGTGGCAGATGTCTGTCTGGGGCGATTTTAGAACAAGCAGAACGAGGTCAACACTTTTGCCTCCATTTTAAATGTTGAATAAACAATATTCCCCTTACACATCCCCAGCGTATCTGTAGCTGTAGGTGTAGGTGTATGAGTATCTGTATCTGTGTGAGCGTAAAAGTATCTCAGACAGAGTGTAGGTAAAGCGTTCCATTGTGGCAGTTCATTTGCTTGCAAATGTGTTTGTTTGTCCCACCATTGTTTCCTACCGACTTGTTTAAAATACTAGTAACTAAAGCTCTGTTTGCCAGTGTCATTGTTTCGAGTGTTTGCAGTTTTGTTTTCATTTTTTGTTTTAATAGCACACACATAAAAAAATACAAAGCCAAACCCAAAAGCCATGTACATGATTTATCATTCGGCCTTTTATTTATGATTGCGTTTTAATTAATTTCTGTGACAAGGCATAAATCGACCGAATTTCCCAAATGTGCAACACTGTGTCGCTTGTGTGTGTATGTGTGTTTTGTGTTATAGTATTGTGTGGTGTGTGGGTTGTGTGCTTGTATGCATCCTGTAAAACTGTTAAAATGTCAATGCTGGCAAAATTCGTTGATAAATACTTCCACTTAAGGCAGGCAAATAAATTAAATATGAATTGTTTGCCAGCAAGCGGCAATAAATCCAAATAATTTATGTACTCTACTAATATTTGTTATTGTAGCCACAAACTCCGTCAAAATTAGTGCTCAAAACCGCAGGACTTTCACAAGGGGATAGAAATAACAACGGCAAAAATAACGTTATTTGTTGCAACGAGGGATCCGAATATTTTGGAACACCTTATTAGAAGAGGGACTTCCCACACAGGCACCAAAAATCAAAAAAACAAAATACGGCTTACAAAAATTTTTTAAAACAAAATAGAAAAAAGTGAGAAAGTTGCAAGAATTTAGTGCATTTAATTAGTTAAGGAAATTAAAAGAAAATAAATTTAAATTAGAAGTTTGCAGTTGAGTTATTTAAGTGAAAGATATAGAGCTGGGAAAAGGATTGGTGAATTTTTTAATTAAATAAAGTTAAAGTCAAGACTTTTATAAGGTTATTATTAAATTTATGTATTGCTTTAATGATTAGTTTTCTTATTTAAAAAAAATCAAATATGTAAAATATTGTCTACAAAAAGTCTCGAAAAAATCCTTTAGCTTACTTTAGCTTCCTGAAAAAATCTATCAATGAATTTAAAAAGTTTTTCAAGATTTATTTAATGGATAAATGTTATACTCTGGTCTTTAGTTGCTGGTAAAATAAAATCTTAATACAAAGTCTATACACCTTTAAGAAGGCATTATTCCTAAACCTGTAAGTTAAGCGATGATAATGTTATGTAAAATGGAAGGAGTACTTTGTCCAGTGTGAGTCTGGGTTTGGTTTTTAGGTATATGTTTAGGTTTAGGCTTAAGTAAGTAAAGCAAGCGAAGGTTTAACAAAAATGTACCAAAAATATTCGTGTAATAAATACAAATAGCGAGAAAGCATCAACTCAGTAACAGGAAAATAAACAACCGAAGCAGAACACCGACAGGGAGACGACGTGTTCCCAAAAAGCTTGAAAGGATCAACGAGATCGAAAAGTTGAGAGGGGAAAACGTATTCGCCTCCCTCCTTGAAGAGTTCTGAGGACGTGGACACGGAGGTGGATACCTGATTTCCTCCTTGGCCATGGCAAGTATAAATGGTAACCGGCACATCCTCTTCGGATTTCTCTTTCGCATCCAGGCACATGGCCGAGGCCAGGTTGGCGATCTGCAAATTAAGGTCACTATATAGAGGAATCGGACAGCTGAATTCAGGGGAAGGGACTCTATATATATAACACCCAATAGCCCGAGAGAATTTAGTGTCAGGTAGTGGATTGGTAGTAACAAAAGAGTGAAAAAATAGTGGAGATATTCCTTGATCTTCTTGCGGATTTCTTGTGCCTCGACGGAGTTTGTGGCGGTCGCAGGACTGCATAGATGGATGGCTTGACAAACCTGGTTACCGCCCTGTCGATGGCAGGGATATGTGCCCACCGCCTTCTTCTGGTGCTTCTTGCCGGCTGGGGCGTCCATGCAGGTGCGACCGCCGTAACCTAAGTTTCTTATCTGTGGAATGGATTCACATTGCAAGGGTACGTATTTTATGTTAGCATTTCAGAATCAGTTTGTTATTAGTTTCGGGGGAGGTAGCTCTTTAGTAACCAGGGTTCCGGGACAGGTTGAAGGGGGAACAGAACACTGAGAACTTACCTCTCCATGGGCCACCGAATCACCGGGAATGAAGAGTTCAGGATAAATGTTGTCCAGATACCACTTGAAGCTTTTGCAATTGAGATCTTGACTGTGGGGGGTACAAGTATGTAGAAGAAGAGTTGGTTAAACTTTAAATTTAAAATAAAATAGAGAATTTAAATCCTTTTTTAAAGGTGTCTAAGAGCAAGCTGTGAAATGTGCAACTTTTTGGACACCCTCTTAAAAGTAATGGCGACAAAACTTTACTAATAATAATAGAGCCAGGCTCTAGCCAAACTGATATGGTTATTATTATGGCCCCTCAAATGCACTCACCGCAGCTGCTTGCGATCGGTGACATCGCCCCAGTCACCCTTGTCGTTGCCAATGCGGTGATAGTAGTACTGCGAGTAATCATCCATCCAAACTTCGGCCAGTCGCACAGAGTTCTTCCTCAGCACATTCACGCCCGAACGCCACTGCAATTGTAGGGTAGAATGGCCATGAGTAGGAGAAGGGTATGAAAATGGAAAATAAAGGGAAAGCGCAATCAGTGGCCCAGTGGCTGCCAGAGTGCCGGAGTCAATGGAAATATTTGGTCAGCAAACAGAGTCCAACGGAGGAACAATACCGGGAAAGCAGGGCGCCGGAGAGAAGAGAGAGTGGAGTGGCCAACAAAGCCTAATTACCTGAATGAGTAGCTTTTGCTTAGTGGCATTAGGTGGCTCTTGCCCGGCTCCTGTCCTCAGCCTTTTGCGGTTGTTCTGGGACAATTGGTAGCCTTCCCAGGCGACCCGCCCACCCATCTATCTTCTGCCTTCTGCCTTTGTCTGCTCCCCTCTGTTGTGTGTCTTGTTTTGTGTTTATGAGTTCACTGTACAGGTGTCTGTGTGCCTTGGCTGCCTAGCTGCATTCCAGCCGGATAGCAGGAAAATTCTTGGTCAGCAAGGAGGGAGGCAACTTGTGTTTGCATCTGACATTTATTGAAATTGCCGGCTCAAGCCGTAAATCGTGACAGGGCTACGGAATCGATAGGTCTGCTGTTGCATTTTCCTTTTAACTTGCATTGTTTAATTTTGTTTCTAACCAACTGAAAGTCTTATGGAATTGTTTTCCATATTTTGCTTTGCATTGTCAGACTTTAATTGAAATATTTTAAGCAATGTTTGTATCTGACTATTCAATGAACGAGCTTAAATGAGGCTGGACAGGATTATTGGGTTTAAGTGGGCGTCTTAATATAATTTGGTGTTTGAATAAAGATTGACTTTGTTGGACATTTATTACAAATTTATATAGTAATATGTGATTTTCATTAGCTTTCTTAGCAGGTGTTTGCTAATTTTCAATTTAAGTAACTCTATGATAACTAAAATCTCTTGAAAAAGTACTTAATAGTATAAAAAGAAGGAATCTATTAGTTTGTACCTAAATTTTTCTATTTATTTAGCTTATTAAGGTTAATAAAGGTATCCTGTCCGCATGTATACTTCATTCTCCAGTGGTCTATCTTGGATTTCTATTTCCTTGCCGCATTCTGTTGATTATCCTGGGGACAAGGAACTCCCCTGGGATTTGGCAGGTGCCCAATTGGTTAGTTCCACTTCAAGAACATTCGGTCTCTTGTGTGTGTTACGCCATTGACATCAAAACAGTTGCCAAACTTTTGTCAAGCGTAAACCGTTGATAATTGAAGCTGGCCCAAAATGCAAAGATCTATGGGATAAAGTGTGTGTGTGTGTGGGTGGGTGGTGTGCGAGGAATCTACAAACACTCACTCACTCACACGCATACACTCCAGCACATGTTGCAAAGACAGCCGCAATGCATGTCCATGTCGGAGTCCGTATCTGTGTCTGTGTCCTTGTCTGTGCCATGTGTGCCATGTTGCTGCCATTTGGCAAAAGGACGAGCTGGGGGCGTGGCCAGGATTGGGCCACTGTTGACCAAACACGAACCTCTGGAGCGGAGTGGTCTGTTTTTGGCCCGGTCTGGTAACTGGTCCTGAGGCTGCCCACACAAAACGATACGGAATGCACACAGCATGCTATGTTGGCTAAGAGTTTTAAATTCCGCCTGCCCAAATTGCAGACCAAATGCCTTTTCTTAATGAGCACTGGAACAGTCGATCAATATTGGTTTTCCCTCTGTCCGCAATGATTTCTCATTTTCCCTGCGGCTTTTCTTTTCCATAATTGATCGATGATGATGTACGGGAAAATTGAAAATTGAGCTTCGTATAGGAGTGCTCTTCCTCATAGATTTTCTTTTCAAAAACGAGGCAGTAACCCAGGGATACTTAAAAAGGATACTTACCTTGTATGGTGACCGCTTCCGGAAGATGTGACCCACATGAGAGCAGGGCACAATCTCCAAAGTGCCACCGCACATCCAGGTCTTGAAGGATAGCTCCAGGTTCTCACCTCCCCAGATATCGAAGCCGGAGTCATAGGTTCCCAAACGATTGAAGAACTCCCTGTCGATGGAGAAGAGTCCACCGGCCATTGTGGGTGAGTAAACGGGCTCGGCCGAGCTCTGAAAAATAAGAGGGAAAAAACGAGAGATACGCAGGTAAGAGAAGGGCAATTTCATTTGGCTAATTGATACTCGGCTGCGCTGAACCAGAGATAAACACCGAAACGGAGAGGAGGAAGTGCCACAAGTGGCCGAGCACACCTGAGGAAACTTTTGGCTGCCGCAGCCCCCCCAATCGCTTTTCATCTCTCTGCTGTTTTCGGGGGTGGCAAAAAGTTTGCTGGCTCGCTTTTTTCTCGTTACTTTCAACAGCTTGCCACAAAATACTTGAGGCTACGTTTTATTTAGTACAACATTTTCATTGCTCTTCGAGAGAGTTTTCTATCTGCTTTTGTGGAGTAGCTGGAAATTTTGTTGTAATTGAATCCTTGGTCCAGAGTCCAGAGTCCTGGTGTCTGGTTTCTGGTTTCTACCCTTGGTAGAACAATTTTTTGCATTTAATTGGAGAAATTCATTTCATTCCTGAATGCAATTTAATTCCTACTATCTTTGTACCAGCCTGTATTTGTATTTGTGTTTGTGTTGTGTTTGCACTTGAATTTATGCCACAAGCGGCAGCAGCAGCAGCTGTTAGTCAGTGAGCTTGTAAAATAATTAAAAATAAATAAAGTTTTCCCATTTGTTTTCTATTGTGAGTTCGGAAAGTGGAAAATAAGTTTACAGCGAAATAAAATTAAAAATGTACAAATACAAAGTGACTTTTGAATGGAAGTCTCTGCTTGAATGCCCTTTTAGTAAATTAAATAAATTGTAAAAATAGAATTATTCTACATAAAAATGATTTCTGACAAGTTTTAACGATCATTTTAGCTTTTGTTTATTATTTACTTAAATTTATCTTCCATTTATCTTGACATTTATTTACCTTAGAAATAATGAAAGGTGTATTAAAAAGTCTTAATACCTCAATTTCATTTTTAATGTCATTATAACCCACCCATAAGGTTATTAAAAGCTCCCCCGTAAGTGGTTATAATTTAAACTGAAATATGTATTCAATTTATTTATTGTGATTGCATTTCATTTAATGAACGGCTCGCTGGGGAGACATCATAATAATTTTCATTATTGCGATATTATGCCAGAAATGCGCGACAGAGGTCACAATCAGTAATTATTGCGTATACGCAACGTGGCCAGGCCCAAAATCCAACACGCGTTGGCTAAACCAACAGAATACACTTGCAGCCAGAGCCCAAGGTAATTGAGTTTCATGAGGAAGAAAACGCTGACAAACGTAAAACGGAAAATGGCAAAATAAATGAAATTGTCACGGCAAAGGGCCCAAGAGGGAAAATGAGGTAGAGAGCGAGCCGGAAAAGGGCGATGCCAGGCTGAGTGGAAGACAACTAAAAACGTGTAACTTAAAGTCAACAAGAAGTACGAGATACAACAAGAAAAAAAATATATATATCCGGCTGCCGGACAACAAAGTGAAATCTCCAAACGCGACAAGTGCCATTGTGCTTTTGGGTGGGCTGGAAAACTCCCAAGAGGGTTGGAAAATTCGCAGTGTGACATTTAATAAACGCCTGCAATGGCAAGGAGGAGAGTGAGTGAAACAGGCACAACAATGTGGACAAATATGCGAAACGCAACGAAAAGGAAGAACGGGAAAAGGAGGCTGTGGCATGCGGGCGGCCATTTTTTGTTGCCACCGGAAGTGACAGAACAAATAGCAAAAGTGAAAAGCGGCAAGGTGCTTTCGGGATGCTGCATGCGAGTGTACGAGGACGAATATAAAAAGATTCCTCTTATTGTTATAACCCAGCAACCCGCTCGACTTCTGTTTTATTTTTTACGCTCTTCCTGTGTGTGTATCCGTTTTTGTTTTCCGCTTTTATCCGCTCAGGAAATGGAAGTAAAAGGCACACACACACACATAGAGTACTTTTATATGTATTTTAAAACTAAAAAAAGGAGCGGGAAAGTCTCGCTCTGGCGAAAATAAACTGAAATGAAATAAAATGCAGAGCTGAATAAATAAATATACACGAAAATATGAGTGAAGCGTGCTGCCGCTGCAATTGCTGTTTGTGCAAACAACGCGGCAGAACTTTTCGCTTTTCCGAACTCCCCACCCCCCCAAGACCAGCAGCAGCTTTACGGAAACTCTCCCTGCCCGGCAGCTTTTCCCATTTTCCCCGCTGGGTCGCAGTTTTATGTTTGCCATTGGCTGCATATAATGCAGCTAAAATGATTTAAAAGCTGGCAAATAAACGCAATTTTTATGGTTGTGTTATGTAGGGCTTGTGGGTAACTTTGTTACTTTAAAAAGAAGCAACAAAATTAAAGTTTAAATTACAGTTTATATAGAAATAATAGGCATAATCTAAATTCATTTATTTTGCTTTAAAACAAATGCTTTTAATAAAAACAGTCACGCTTTGCCACAAAATTTCATGTTATTCAATTAGTTTTAATTATGTAAATTATATTTCCAATCGATTTATCTACACTAAACAAAGTCGAATTCCTCAAAAAACTACACACAAAATGTTATGGAAAAAGTTCGATTAATATTGGCATTTCACATATTTTTTCGTTCTTTAAAACAAAGTTGCCATTGTGCACGCTGTGAAAGGTTTTTCAGAAATTGCAGAACACAATATAAAAATCAATCAAAGGCATTACATTTCAACAAAGCCGTGGAAAGTATTTTTCAATCGACCATTAAAGCCGCAAAAATCCACAATAAAGTTACAAAATACATTCTCAATAAAAGAGGAACGAAAAATGCCAAACGCTTTGTTGTTTCTCTTCTCACCTCACACATAGACTTTCCTTTCGGGCCATTTATTTCACCCTAATCCTGCCGAAGCCAACTCCCAATGCTGCTCAAATAAAGATTCATGGCCGAGAACAATCAATTTTTCCTTGGAAAATTGTATAAACAACACAGGCCAGGCATAATGGCGAATCTAAGGCAGCGAAATAGAGCTTAAAATGACAAGACGTCAAAAGTAACTTGGGCACATTTCTCATTCACTTGGCATATTTGGATATCCAAATAAATCGTTGGGCATTCATAATGGTTAGGAGTGTGTGACACATTTTATGATGAGAAATGAAGGACGCCGGAGCCTAGGGGACGGATCCAGGGGCCTCTGGATCAGCTCAACCGCAAATTAAGCAAGCGAAACCTCAGAGTGCGGTTCGGTTTTAAAGGCCTGGCTTTGTGAATAATGTGCTAACCTGCTGTGGCTTTCAAGGAAACCCAATGCCACACCACATGCCCTCCACTCAGGAGCGGCATCAACATATCCACATTAACATCAAATAAAACAGTCACGTCGAGCGGCAGGAGGCGCCGAAAAAATATGCCCAGGAATATCGTAAATGTCAGAGGAGCCTTAAGGACTCGGGGATGGGCCCGAGGATGGGTGGATTCTCTGCAGACACGCACCAAGTGCCGATGGGTCTCTTAGCTCACAGCAGGCAGCGGTCCGGGGAGGCAGCAGGCGATGATAATGCTTAAAAAATGAAATGGTAAAGGAACTCAACGTGAAAGATACCCTACGAATATTCTAGAAATAAGAGTAAAGAGGAAAATTCTAGGAAAATTAGGTAGGACTTCTTTTATATCTTATTTTCATTTGCAAACTAATATTTTATCTTTAAATTTGATTATAAAGATAGTCACAGAAGACTATCCCAAAGCCTTTCAAGCTTCAAGGCAACCCTGTAAGTGCTTCTACGGGATGCTCTAAAAAATATAAAGAAGACGTTGTCGACGGGAAGCGAGACACGCGCGAAAAAGCCCGGAAAAAAATGAATATAACGCTGCTTGACATAATGTGAAGTTGACTTTGACAAGTGCTTGGGCTGGGCCACGCCCCCCTACGAAACACACAGACACACACACACATGGCGGCCATATCCGTAGGATGGCAAAGTGGCAACTTAGCGAGGCCAACTTGAGAGTTTCATGCGCCCAAGTTGCTATTTGCATTTTGAGTCAAGCACCGAAAAGTCGCAATCTCCGCCAAAAGTTAATAGTTGAGGAATGCTTCAGGTCAATGGGCGAGCCAGAGCAAGTGGAAGTGGCTGAACGGGGTTATCCTGCGGAATCGGAATCAGGATAAGTAGCATTGCATCTGCGTGAAATGTATCTGTGAGCTACAATTTGGCTTATTTCTAAAGAGTGGAAGGAGTGGAGTGGAGTGGAGGGATTCCCATTCCGCTTAACCCACTCGACATCCTTTTGGCCCGGGAATCAGGCTGCTTAAAAGCGTATTTAAATGTTTAATGTAGCGTTCACTCACACACACGCACACCGCCCAGGGGTCGGCTGGAGGTAAAAATTAGCATAAAAAAGTTGTTTCAGTGCTCTGGTGATTTTGCTTTGATTACCGGTTCACTGGACTGTTAGCAAATGCTCAACCGCTTCAATCCAACAACTCCCACGGAGGGCCGAACCCCTTTTTGCCAGGACTCCCTAAAAGGAGAAAACAAAGGGCCAGGGGCGCAGTGGAGGGAATGAATCAGAAGGGGGTTCTTTGGTGGTTTTAATTTGCGAAATAAATTTTTGGCTCAATAGTTTATAGCTTATAAAGTTTTAAACTTAAAGGAAATCCTTTATGCTAATCAAAAATATTGCTTAAACTAAGCTATGATAATGAAATCGATCATTAAAAATAATCCCTCTGCTTTTCCTTCTCTTCTTTAAATATAAATCTAAAAATCTGTGCATCTATTAAAAGTTTATTTTAATTTCTAAAAACCTATCTCTATGTTAGAAGCACAAATCATTTAAGCAGCTTAATGTTTTCCCAATAATGGAAAATTATCATTAAAATGCAACATAAAACTTTTCCATACCCCCCTTAAAACCACGCCCCTGGCCTTTTGGGCGGCGTAATAAAACGCAACAGCGATTGCCAGGCGCGAAAGCGCGTGCACAAAACTTTATACGCAGCGCATCCTGGCGCACGAGGTCCTGGCAGATCCCGAGATCCCCTGGACCAAGTGCAATAAAAACCCAAAGTGCAACTTTGCGT